ACCTGATGAGATGCATCTGTGGGTCCTGAGGGACCTGGTAGATGATGTTACTATGCCACTCTCCATCATACTTGAGAAGTCATGGCAGTCCAGTGAAGTTCCCACTAACTGGAAAAGGGGAAATATAATCCCCATTTTTAAACAGGGAAATAAAGGAAGACCCAGGGAACTAAAGGCTGGTCAGTCTCACCACTGTGCCCAGCAAGATCATGGAGCAGACTGTCCTGGAAACTATGCTCAGGTACACAGAAAATAAGGAGGTGATTGGTGACAGCCAACATGGATTCACTAAGGGCAAATCATGTTTGAAAAAATTGGTGGCCTTCTATAACAGGATTAGAGCGTTGGTGGATAACGGAAAAGTGACTGATGTCATCTACTTGGACTTGTGCAAGGCATTTGACACTGTCCCGCATAACACCCTTGTCTCTAAATTGGAAAGACGTGAATTTGATGGATAGACCACTCGGTGGATAAGAAATTGGCTGGATGGTCACAATCAAAGAGTTGTGGTCAAGGGCTGGATATCCACATGTAGACCAGTGATGAGTGGCGTTCCTCAGGGGTCGGTGCTGGGACTGGCACTGTTTATCATCTTTGTCAGCAACATGGAGAGCGGGATCGAGTGCACTCTCAGCAAGTTTGCCGATGACACCAAGCTGTGTGGTGGGGTCAACACGCTGGAGGGAAGGGATGCCATCCAGAAGGACATTGACAGGCTGGAGAGGTGGGCTTGTGCAAAACGTGGTAAGGCCAAGTGCAAGGTCCTGCACGTGAGTCGGGACAATCCCAAGTACAACTACACGCTGGGTGGAGAATGGATTGAAAGCAGCCCCGAGGAGAAGGACTTGGGGGTATTGATTGATGAGAAGCTCAACATGAGCTGGAAGTGTGCACTTGCAGCCCAGAAAGCCAACCATGTCCTGGGCTATATCACCAGCAGTGTGACCAGCAGGTCAAGGGAGGGGATTCTGCCCCTCTACTCCACTCTTGTGAGATCCCACCTGCAGTACTGCGTCCAGCTCTGAGGTCCCCAGGACAAGAAGACCATGGAGCTCTTGGAGCGAGTCCAGAGGAGACCACAAAGCTAATCCAAGGGCTGGAGCACCTCTGCTATGGAGACAGCCTGAGACAGTTGGGCTTGTTCAGCCTGGAGAAGAGAAGGCTGCGGGGAGACCTTAGAGCCCCTTCCAGTCCCTCCAGGGGCTCCAGGAGAAATGGGGAGGGACTGTTGACAAGGGCAGGGATTGACAGGACAAGGGAGAATGGCCTGCAGCTGCAGCAGGGGAGATGGAGATGAGATGGGAGGCAGAAATTCTTCCTTGTGAGGGTGGTGAGGCCCTGGCACAGGTTGCCCCGAGAGGCTGTGGCTGCCCCTGGCTCCCCGGGCGGGGTG